ATTATCACATTGAGATGTACCCTCCACCACCTACCATCTCCCCTTCCTTCCCCCATAATTTCGGTTATTGGTGCACCGCCTGCAGCGCGGCCTCAAAAATGTACCACCCAGCATAGCTCAATTGAGCAATGAGGCACATAGATCATTGCAACACTGTAAGGTTCAATCTCATTGTGTTGGATTGAACAGCACCAGCCAGAGACTGAAACTAAAGCACCTAAGCAACGTCGTGCTGGCGAGACCGCACCGACATCGGCGACTAGCCGCCCGTCGACCATGGACAGATTTTCATCGCTGATAGCGTCGCTCCAGCACCAGATCGGGTAACCAACTTTAAATCGTTTGCATTGCAATCACTCTGGGTCATCGCTACGTAGCATAAAATCTGGTGACACAGGTTACTGCTCTCACCACTCGTCTTTCGGTAATAAAGCCCGTAAGTGGGTACGGTCATGTAGCTACTCCGCTACAGATGATCTGCCAAGCCGGCTTCTTATGGGTACGGAAGTCAGCAAAGTCCAAATTCGTCTCATCTACCTCGGGGATTGTGGTTCCGAGACCCAGTTCTTAATTGATACCAGGGCGAAAGTTAGCGTCATTTGCCCTAGGCCAGGTGAGCCTATCGCTTCTTTGTCGACAGGCCTAAATGCCGGCAATGACGAGCCAATAGCCACCTACGGTCAGCTATCACAACCTTGGTGCAACACTTGGAAACTGGAGTCCTCACGGACGAAATGCAACGTTCTCTCATACCGATGCATCGTTCCGCCCAAGGCCTTACTGATCCAATGCAGTCCGCTTTCTAATAGCCTCGCAAATTCGAGAATTAGGTGTACATTAACCTAGTTCGCGGAACTTCGCAGAGCACGGGAGCCATTGCGCAGCAACAGCAAGTTCCATCATAAGCTACGTATATTTAAATCCATGGCACTGTAAGAATCTAGGCTTGATCTAAACAAAACCTGCGCCTGCCCTCTGCTAGACTACTGCTCCGTCGTGTTAACCAACTCCAGCAAATACGACAGAGTAGCCATTGGAATGGTTCAGCGGTCGTTTACCACACGGCTCCTGGGCCGCTCTACTCTTGACTATCGCGGTCGGTGCATTGAACTCGCGCTAGAACCTTTACAGCTGCGCAGGCTAAAACTAACCTCCACTTCCTATATAAGCTTAACAATAATCCTCTTGCGAACTCACTAACGCCCTTCCTATCATCGACCAACATCCCGTACCCGTTTCGAAATAGACCGCACTCCATTGTCCTGCCGAAAGCTCACAGTAGTACGCATGCACACGTCTATCTCTACAGATACGCGTAGGTGTGGAATAGGCTTCCTCGTACTATGCGGGCATCTACTAAGGTAATCCAAATCAGTTCAGCACTTAATAGGTACCTCAGTGTCCGTCATGTTTCTACTCTTTTAAGCATTAAGAGACTTGAAGACGAAATGCGGGAAACTAGATCTGACTACATATAAGCGTCTTCCCTATCCGACCACACTCAACTCTAAGGAAAAATAATGCCTGTCCTCAAGTGCCGTTACAAAATTTTTCCCGCCTGATTTCTGCCTCTCACCACGTGACTGCCAACCGGCATCTGAGACTCTAACATATCTGCGTCTCCTAGTAGCTCTCCTGTCATTTTCCGTGTCCTGCCCGGACATGTTAGCAGTATGCGGAAAAGCTAACCTCTGTGTGGTATTTAACAACCTTGATGTACGCTTAGGCTCGGCCTGTTGGATATCCTTTCATGTAATATTTTTGCTCCCTTCAGGCAATCAGTCTTATTTCATCAAATCATCGCACAGCCACTCCTTAGTCTCTCCTTTTAGATCTTCTCTTATCCATTACTTTCTGCAAACTCTGTGACATCTTCCCAGGTATAAGTCCAGCTCTCAATAGCTACTCCTGCTTCGGTCTACCTTAGCCCACAAGAATGATATGAGCATCAGCCCGCCGCTGCGCTTTAGCGTCTGACGCTCTGAAGTATTTAACAACCTTAATGTACGCTTGGGTTCCTCCCGTTCGTAGTCCTTTCATCTAAAATGTTTAGATCACTTATGACAATCATTCATACAATGTCTGCGCACAGCCACGCCCTAGCCCCCTTATATGGAAGTACATTTAACCATTACCCAACGCAACGTCTCAGACACTTACTTATATTGTAGTTTAATTCTCCCAGCTGATTTTTCTGGCTCAGTCTACCTTATTATGCGTTCTTCCAGTTTTCTGTCAATTCTCCATTTAACCGTTTTTAGCTCTCTTATGGTGATGTGACTCCCTCAGTCAACTTACTGTATGCTTGCATTTTGCCTGTCTGCTTTCCTTTCGTCATTCAACGTTGTTTAGGTCTCTGCTGGCGACCATCCTTATCTCATCTGGTCAGCGCCGTGCCGCTCCCTGGTAGACGTTTAGCTATCACTTGTCTGTAACACCCAATTAATTGTAGTTTAGCTCTCTCACCGGCTTTTCCGTGCTCCAGCTACCTTTGTAATACCCCAATAGCGTACTAGCACAAGGTGCTTATCTGCGCGTCGCTGTGTCTTAACCACTGTGCTCTGAACTATCTACTAGCCGTATTGTATGCTTGCGCTTTATCCGTCCGTTTTCCTTTCTTCATAAAACCTTTCTAAGCTCTCTTCTGTGGAGCAAACAGAACGCAAGTGGTCTACGCACAGTTGCTCCATGGTCTCTCCGTTCTAAACGTTTATTTATCCGTTGCGAGCTGCAACCTCCGTGACTCCTACTCATGTAGGAATCCAGATATTACGCTGACATTTGCTGGCTCAGTCTACCTTAGCACTGATATTTTAACACCCTAACAGGACACAGTATTTGCACGCCTCTGGCTCATATGCTGCGACGTCCTTAGTAAACTTACCGTATGCGTGCAGCCTGCCTGGTTGATGTCCTTCTTTCATGTACCCTTTTCAGCTTACGCCTAATACTCCTTCCTATCCCAGCCAGACAACGCACAGCCGCTCCTTAGCCTCTCTATTCTAGACTTTCACATACCTCTTAATTGGTTTAACGTCTTCGACTTTTTTACCTGCAAGCGTCCAGCTCTTGGACTAGTCTACCCTGGCTATATCCAACAGTATTATCCAAGCACCGTAGCATGAATTGTGTACCTACGCGCCGCCGTACTTCAACCTTATATGATGTGACTCCAACAGTAACCCAATTTATGTTTGCATTCTTCCTGTCTGCTGTCCTGCCTTCAGTCAACTATTTTAGCTCTCTTCTGGCGACCTTCTTTACCTCATCGGGTCAGCGCGCCGTTGCTCCTTGCTAGATATTCAGCTGTCATTTACTCGTCTGCCACACCTAATTAGTTGTAACTCAGCTCACTCACTGGCTCCCGCCGGATCAGGCTTTTTTAGTTATATTCCATTAGCACCCCAACATAAGTTGAATATCTGCGCGTCGACGTGTGGTAACCCGTAATACTCTGAACTATTTAACAAATTCATTGTACGCCTGCGCTCCTCCTCTTCGCTGTCCTTCCATGATGAAACCCTCCTTGGCTATCTGCAGGGCAAACGTAACGCTTGTGGTCTGTAAAATACTGTTTCTTAGCTCAACTTTCTGGACGTTCATTTAATTATTACTTGCTTGCTGCTTGATGCTCAGCCGTCACTTACACGACTGTGCCAGCTAAATACATGCAGTTTAGCTCTCTCACTAGCTTCTCTCAGGTCAGGCTTTTTTAGTTATATTGCATTAGCACTCCGGCATGACTTGATTAGCTGCGCATCGACGATTCTTAGGCACATTGCTCCTAACTATTTAACAACCGCATTTTAAGCTTGCGCTTCTACCGTTAGCCGTCCTTCCATCACGTATCCTCGCTTAGCTTTCTTCTGTCGCACAAGCATATACATGTATTCAGTGCAAGCCGCAGCCTTGCCTTACATTTCTGGAAGTTCATTTATCCCTTGCACGCTGTATTGTCCTAGACTTTTTACCTGTCATCCTTCAGCTCTCCGGCTAGCATTCCCTGGCTCTATCCAGCTTGGTACTATTAGTACCCTAGCTGCTGCGGCTAGGCATCATGTTCTGATATCCTCTGCAACTTTAATGTACGCTTGTCTTCCTGCTATTTGCTGCCCTCCGCCAATTAACCTTTCTTAGCTTTTTGTTCGTCACTCCTCTCATCTCGTCAGCGCACGGATGCCCTTTAGCTTCTCATTTCTAGATGTTCATTTCTCACTTACTCGCTGCCATGTTTGCGACAATTACTCATGTATGAGTTTAACAGACTCACTGGCTTTTCTTGGATAAGCATACCTTAGTACCATTTTGTTAGCACCCCAGGATAACCCGTTTCTCTCCGCCACGCTACGTATATATTTGTTCAGCACGTTCGCTTTCCTTTAACTGATCGTTATTACGTTACTGCTATCGATCAATCCTATCTCACCTTGTGTTCTTTGTCCGTGTTTGCAAAGGTTTCGACACTTACTTATGTAGGCGGTAAGCTCTTTCACAGGCTCCCATCTTAGTCAGCCATAGCACTATACACTTAGTAACTCGTGTCTTCTTTCGGGCTTGGTCCCCGAAGATTTGTACTCAGCGTTGAGTCCCATCTATCCGCTGACTTACCACCAATTAACCTTTGAGTCTCTTACGTCGCAAGCTATTTATACCTGCATTTACTTATTCTGCACTTCCTATCGAAGTAGGCTGGCTACCAGCTGTTCATCCACCATTCAAACTCCGCTGGTCTTTGAATTCGGCTTTCTGTCTTCCCAGGCAATAGTTGCAGAATGGCAACCCGATACTGCGTGGATGCCTAATGACGCAACGTTCTGTGTTCCATGTAGATGGTAGCAACCGACCTATACGGCCATTGTGTACGTGGAACACTAAACAGACACTTTCAGCACAATAATGTTGGTACAATCTGCAGCATTATGTCTCCACACTAAAGGTTAAACCGTAAGACCTTAACACTGTTTGTTTTCACGCCTGTTCATTGCGGCCTTGGTTGTCTCTCACCTCCCCTTTTCTCCGAGGCCCGGAACTGCTTTGGGATCTGGGATTAGACCGA